GGGCAGCCTGGGGAGGAACACAAGGCACTGGCGGGCACTGCCTGCTGCACCAGCTTTGGGGAGGCTCGGCCACAGGAGCACAGCAAAGCTCCCAGGCACAACAAAAACAGCCTGTTGGAAGCAGGGCAGGCGAGTGAAACAGCTGCAGAGGAAGGGAGCAGCTCCTGGCCCTGTTCTCTCCAGTGCCTTGTCCCAGCCCAGCACGGGTGTCTGCAGCTGCTGCCCAGGCCCAGGCTGCTCCCCGAGGGCCACTGCACAGCCCGGCCAGAGGGCAGAGCTGGCCCAGGGTGTCCCCAGCACCCCAATCTCCAGAGCCACCCAGCCTCACACATGGGGCTGAAGCTGATGGAGCCCAGAATGTTCCATCAGGCAGATCAGAAAACAGGAGACATGTTTTGGGAGGCACTCTGCTCCCAAAGCACCTCCGTGCTCCAGAGCCCCGGGGCACGGGAGCCAGGACAAGCCCTGCCCTGAGCACACTCACCTCCCAGCTCACACCACCCACTGCTCCCCTGCACCCAGCCAGCATCCAGCTTCAGCTCGGGAAACAAGCACAAAACACCCGAGAGAGGAAAAGCCCCAGGGCAAGAGCAGAGGGAGAGAACCATGGCAGTGGAGCTGGGCCTGGAGCCACAGGCTGCTGGGGAAGGGCTGTCAGCAGGGTGGGAGCAGAGCTGGCTCTGTGAGCTCAGGGGGGTGGCTTTTGTTCCTCTTGGCCATGGAGAGCTCCAGCAGCAGACAGGGCCGGGACACGAGCGGCCTGCGCGCTGGGATCCAGCTCTGCCAGGAGGGACATCCCATGTTGTTCTGCAAAATAAACAGAAGGCTTTTAGTGTTGTGGAATCTGCAAACATGAGGATCTGTGGTCGGTGCACGGTGCTGAAATTCTGGGAAGAGAGAGGTAGAAGAGGGAAGGATTCACTTCAGCCCTGGGATGGGGAATATGGTGATTTTTGAGGCCATACCCATGCAAGGGACCACTGATCAGTTCTCTCAAACCTCTCTCCTATAGGGGAAGAAGTAAACAGACTGTGTGAGAGTTGTTTGCTTCAGCATTGATAACCCCAGAGGAACATCATCAACCATCCACCTTGGAAAGTACCACAGAAGAAGGAATCTTGGTTAAACACCCACCTACCCCCCATTCCTCCACCTGCCCATGAGCCTGGGCCCGGGGTCACCAGTGTGCTCCCCTCCCTTGTGGAGACCACCAGAGGACCTCTCAGCAACAGCACTGGGCACGTGCATCAGCCACAGGAGGGATGTGATGCGGGGGCCAGGCACTGCAGAGCAGCTCTGGGAAGTGGATGACGAGCTCCTGGAAGAGGAAGGGACATGGACAATACCTGATGGATATGCAGAACGAGACAGGAGCTTCTCCCACCGAGAGCCCTGCCCGTGGGACGCCGCTGGAGCCCGTGGGGGATGTGCCAACCTATCCTTCTTCTTTCCAACTTTGTTTTCTTCTTCTTGTCCCTTCTCACTAAGTTGCAAGAGCACTAATAAAGTGCCATTGGCTGCCAAGTGACATCTGACCTCGTTTGTGTCTCAATTTCACCCCGGAGTAGTCCTAAAAGCCCTCGGTCACCTTTGGGACCGAGTCAGCCTGTCTGCGGCAGGGAGGGCCCGGAGCAGTGCCCAGCCCTGGGGAGCAGTGCCACCCAGAGGGCTTCCCCAGCAGCACCTCACGCCAGCCACAGCTCACCCAGTGTAGCAACTGGTTTTCCCCCTCCTGATCAAAGAAATCTTCGTGTCTTTCACCTCTCAGCCCTTCAAGCCACCCTCCTCCCTCCACAGCAGCCCCAGGTTGGGGAAAGAGCTTCAAGGACAACTCAGGGCATTTATTCACAACGCTGGAACATAAAAATAACATCTTTAATGGCTTTAGAATTGGCACAGATGGCATTAAATTCACCACGTTTTATTAACGGACCGGGACGCGCGGCGCAGGCCGAGGAGGCCGCGGGGGCTGCGAGCTGCTGCTGAAACAGGGGCTAA